GCCGGACGAAAATGTCCGAAGGTTGATCTCATTATTGCGCTTGAGCGGCTCTGTGGCGACCAGATATCCAATGCTCGCCCACTCAACATCGGATCCCGCATGAGACTCTGAGTTGCGTTTACCTTTGGCTACTATCTCGTCTCCGCCGTCATCTCTCGGCACTGGTCACTTTACATCATCCATCGGCCCTTCAAACATGTAAGTCAAACCACCCACTTTTGGCCCACCCCCCCTTTTGGCCCACCCTGTTTTGGTAGGGCTACACCAAAACCTACTATTTTTAATTATATACTTAACTAGCTTATTTATATATATTAAATTATATAAAAAATATGTTAAGTAGAATATTAGTTAAATTTAAAGAGTATAGTATTTTTATAGTTATATACTAGGTCTTTATTACGTAATAATACTAAAACCTTAAATACTAAAAACTATATAGTTAAGAAGTATTATTTTAAATCTAAATAACTTAAGTAATACTTAGTTATATACGCTAAAATTTAGCTATATATAACTTATTTATATAGATTTTCTAAAAGTATCTTTTTTTAATTAGTAGTATTTTTTCTCGCTTAGTAATATTAAGTTAAAATTTCCCCATAGTAAATTTTGTATGGGGAAAATTAAACTTACTATAGCTATATAAGTATATATTATATAATATTAATAACTAGTGTATATAGTATATTTAAGTATAAATAACCTAAAGAAAGTTAATTTTTCTTTTTTAAAGTATAAATAAAAGACTTATTTAAGTTTTTTAAATGTTAGTAGATACTAGTAATTTGTATATAAACACTAATATTTCTCTAACTTTAGCTTTAAGCTACTATAACTACTTTTATACTTATTATTACGTAATGTAGTATTTTTTTATATAAATAATATTCATTTTGCTACCTATATAGTAAATATGATAAATAAATATATAAAAGTGGATTTATTAGACGTATAATAAGAAGTAGAATATTTGGTGTAAAAGGGGGTAAAAGGGGGTAAAAGGGTGGGCCAAAAGGGGGGGTGGGCCAAAAGGGGGTCTTTTGACTTACTTCACTCATCTCGCAGAAAAGTGGCTCTGTTATCTCAATCCTCGTCGCGTTGATGTAATCCGAAAATGACATCACAAACACTTCGACTGAAATATCGATCCGGCAGATTCAATACTTAAGCGGACAATGACTGATGAAGGGTGTGAGCTTTTCGGATCATTCTAACAACACAATCACAATTCCAAGGCGTAGGATCAATCGTCACCGACGAACCATCGCCAACTCCCGATTCAACCAATCACGAGCTTAATCCATACCTTGTAACTCTTCGTCCAATCAAAATGTCAGTCAACCGTAACGTTGAGTCCATCAACAACAAGCAGGGCGAGTTCCACCCCAGCGTCCCTCGTTCAGAGCCCCTCACAACCAAAGGCGTAAGTTCATCAATCCCAATCCCAAGCATTCGTAATCACTCCCCCTGTCTAACCAACCAATAGCACGCCCCTGGCACCAAAGTCGGCAACGACGCATACCCCGAGTTCCACGCCCAAGCATACCCTGCCGGCACAGCACCCAGAGAAAACACCTTCCAGCCCCAGAACGCGCAAGAGATCCCCGGCCAGGCTCTGAATCCCGAGGCTACCACGTATACGGCCGCGCACGATTTCCCTGGTGCCACGAGCGGGGACGTCCACACTGGGCTGGGTAAGCCTGTACAGGGCCAAACTAGCGCCGAGCTGCACGGGGCTAACCTTGGTCGCCGTGACAAAGAGAGCGCCGGACTTGAGGGAGTTGGAGCTTTTGGCAAGCACAACTTCAGAGAGCGGCGGTTGGATGTTGACCAGGAGCCCGATGCTCGTGGCAAGACGAAGAATGCATCGAATGTTCTCGGCGCGGAAGAGAGATTACCTGTGTCGGCTGAAGCGGTCGCCAGTGAGCGTCGATAAGTCAGCGACTTTTGTACCATTACCTTGATGTCACGAGCATGAATGAAATCCTCACGAGCTTGGGAAAATGTAATTTGGCCCGAATTGTAAATATTCACGCCCAATTTATTGCATGTTCTAAGTGCATCCGCTGTCCCTTATCCTCCTAAACACCCTTGTAGCCTTACTCGTAATGCATCTTGATTCCAGTGTTCTAACCCAAATACACTACGAGAGAAGAAAATCGCGCCATGTTCCAAAGTTACATCGGTTCACACAAAGATGACCCGGCGTGTCACCATCTAAATGGATCGGTTCTTGGTCTTGCTAGCGTTGGAAGGCGCAGTCTTCTTGAGAGTGAGAACGATCTTGTCTTCAGTGGTGGTGTCGCTGGTGTCGTTCCACTTGAGAGAGTAGATGCCGTTGATGGAGCTGGGGGTAGCATACCACAGCGACTCCATGCCGCCAGAGGAGGACTCGACGAAAATGAAGGAACCGTAAAAGACGAAGCCGCTGGTCTGGCGGTCGGAAGAGGATGAGTTGGAGCTGAGAAAGCCGACGTCATGGTCCGAAGAGCCCTCGGCGGGGATGGAGAAGGTGAGGTTGGACCAGCTGGGAGGGGAGGTAGAGTTGAGAGCCGTAGTGTTGGGGGCTCCGATCCAGCCGTTGTTGTCGGTGGGGGTGACTATGAAGTGTATTAGTTGCTGGTTGGATATTAAACCGGAAGATGGTGACGTACAGATCACCGGGGCGGCGTTAGAGTCGTTGAACTTGGTGTGATCACCAAAGTAAGCGTCGCCTAGTCACAATCGTGTTAGTCTAAAGCTTTTCGAGGGGGGTTTTCGCAACCCGGGCTGGACGGGTTATCAACAAAAGAGAGACAGGAAGAGAATGATGGTAAAGCTCCTAATAGAACTTTACGAATTCTCTTGAGATAAAAGTTCTTAAACCAGCCTTACTACCTCCTGCAGAGAACATGGACAGGCCGCCGATTCCTTGGCCGTAGGCGTAGACCTGGAAAGGGCTGGTGTTATCGCTGGCGACAGCGCGGGGTTCCGAAGGAGCCGCAACCGCAAGAGCGGCGAACGACAACAGGATAGTGCCGAAGGACTGCATTTTTGCGTATGGGGTTGGTGAGTTGTGTCTCGAAAAGAAAGGAGTTGTGATGGAGTAAACGACTGGATGAGACTGTAAGGAGACTCGATGGGGGATAACGATGGACTGAATGAGAGTGATCGTGGTGAAAGGAACCGGAGTGGTGGGGGGGGGCCGGGGAAGTGAAGCTGGAGAGGGGATGGAGTTGGTTAAATAAAAGTGCGGTTAGTCGATGCCGTTCGGATGATCCGCCTCAAGCCGCCCTGGCCGGCATGTCATGACTTGTAACTCTACGTGCAAATTTTCGGGCTACGCCACCGCGGCACCACAACTCATCCAAGTCAGGTAGCAAAGGCCCGAAGACGGTTCCTGTTGGCCATGGTTGCAAGGTAAACTTTGGTTTCCCAAACCAGGTTGTAACCAACAAATCACTGCGCGGATGCGGAATAGGCGCGTTGACTCTTGAGGCTCGGACTCCACCGTGTTGATCACAGTGGAGGCACAATCAACCCCGTCAACCACAGATAGTGTAGTTGAGACCATCACAACCTCCTTGACGCATCGGTCATTGCCGTTCGGCATCCAGTCAAGCTTTTGCCGCGAGATTGGACGGAAACGGCCATTGGCCATTCAGATCCAGCGGGAGCGCCGTTGTCGTTTACTTGCGGCTAGGGCCATCCCGGGAGGGGCGCCTGTCAACGGGGGTTTTCAGAGTTCTCGTTTCGGTATGTGGGATGAACAGGGGCCCGTGATAGGGCCCGGGATCTGTGGATACTGATTCCCGGGGTGAGCTTGATATATAGCAGGGATGCTATAGGTCTGGCCCATCACATCTCATCCATCATCGTCACAAAAGGGGGATGGTGTCGCCATGGGACCGCGTAAGGAGAGGAGGCTGCGCAAGGGACCACGAACTCCTCCTCTCCCAGCATGCAGTGTAACGAACCCACTCAAGGCCACCTACATAGATTGATAGTCTTCGCAGACGGCCACCCGCGAGGCTCAAGCTATGCCGCACAGACATTCCCCTTCCGCAAAGCGGAGCCGGAAGTTTCTAAATCAGGAGTGATCTGGTGGGGCTCATCGGCCGGCTTGGCTCTCCGGAGTGCCTCCCACCCTCCCGACAAGTCGGGCAGACCGGCCACCCAAGTCTGACGGTTCTACCGTCGGCACACCGGCCCTTGATCGTCTCCCCTTCACATCCACTTGATAAACCCATCACGCCTGTCGACAAGTTGAGTTGCCGTGCCTTGCGAGGCTGCAGTGGAGCACAACACCCTACCAACCCCAGCTTCCCCTGACCTATGCCTCGCATAGAGGAAATAAGACTCAGCTGCTTGCGAGTCAGCCCAACTGCGGTTCGTCTTCCACGTACCACCTTACGACCCCCGTACAGCCCGCGCATGGATCTCAAAGGGGTCAGTCTCAGGTTAACCCCTTCGGGCCTTCATCGACATGGGAATTATCGTGAAATCATCTGCATCCAGAATGTTTTTCCTTCGCTGAATCTCGAGCCGGACTAGCCTTTGCATTGACGATCTTTAACCTACTGGGGCAAGTGCGAGCTGTGGTGCCAGCGGATAGCTTCGGGATGCCCATGGTATCGTCAGATTCGGTTCAAGCGGCTCCAAAGGAAACAGGACCGATTGACGACTTCTGTCATTGTGGACCGAATGAGGAAACACCTGCAGGGTAAACACACCCAAGTTCAACGGGGAAATAGAGTTTTTAGCATCCGTTGACTATCGCGCTTCCCGTGAGCCGCCCGTGAAGCCGACATTGCGTTGCGGGCTCACAAGAATACTTAAGCGATAGACATCCGTTGCTTGTTTGATGCTATTCTCACTCACTCCTCACCCAGCACAGTATTGGCTGCGCTTCCATTCGCTTTCGTCTTTCCTCCCTCACTCCCTCTTCAGTCCTTCCAACTTGTGTCATACAGTCTTTCTTTTAACCTTCTCTTGGCACACACAATCACTACATCATCATGTTCAAGTCTCTCTTCATGGCCGGTGCCCTTGCGGGTTCCATGGCCTCTGCCTTGCCCGGATTCGGCGCCCTCTCTGATGGCCCCGAGGCCCAGCTCTTCCCTCGTGCTACCTGCAGCGGCAACACTGCAAGCACAAGAAGCGAGTGGTGCGACTACTCCGTCGACACCGACTACTGGACCGAGGCGCCCGACACCGGTGTCACCCGCGAGTACTACCTTGAGTTGACCGACGTCACCGTCGCTCCCGATGGTGTCTCCCGCTCCGCCATGGCCGTCAACGGCTCCATTCCGGGCCCGACCATTTTCGCCGACTGGGGTGACACCGTCGTCGTTCACGTCACCAACTCTCTGACGACCTCCAACAACGGCACCAGCATTCACTTCCACGGCATTCGCCAGAACTACACCAACCAGAACGACGGCGTCAGCTCCATCACTCAGTGCCCCACGGCCCCCAACGACACCATCACCTACACCTGGAGAGCTCTGCAGTACGGTTCTACCTGGTACCACTCCCACTTCGCTCTTCAGGCGTGGCAGGGTATCTTTGGCGGCATCATCATCAACGGCCCCGCCACTGCCAACTACGATGAGGACCTCGGCATGATGTTCCTCAACGACTGGGATCACCAGACCGTCGACGAGCTCTACTCCACTGCCGAGACCTCCGGCCCGCCGACGCTCGACAACGGTCTCATCAACGGTACCAACGTCTACGGCGACGACGACTCCACCACACAGACCGGCTACCGCTACAACGTCACCTGGACCTCCGGCACCTCCTACCGTCTGAGACTTGTCAACGCCGCCGTCGACACCCACTGGAAGTTCATGATTGACAACCACACCATGGAGGTCATCGCTTCCGACCTGGTTCCCATCACCCCCTACAACGCCACCGTCCTCGACATCGGCATGGGCCAGCGCTACGACATCATTGTCACTGCAGACCAGGCCGACGTCGCCGACAACTTCTGGATCCGCGCCATTCCCCAGTCCGCCTGCTCCGACAACGACAGCACAGACAACATCAAGGGTATCATCTCCTACACCGGCACCATCACCACCCCCACCACCAGCGCCTACTCCTACACCGACTCTTGCGACGACGAGACGGACAACATCTCCCCCTACGTCTCCAAGACGGTTGACAGCGCCAACTGGGATGAGCTCGAGAGCGCCTCCGTCAGCAAGAACACCGCCGGCCTCTTCAAGTGGTACCTCAACAGCACTTCCATGCTCGTCGACTGGGCCAACCCGACCCTCGAGTCCGTTATCAACGGTAACACCACCTGGGAGGACGACGACGCCGTCATCCAGCTCGACGAGGCCAACCAGTGGGTCTACTTTGTCATCGAGACCACCCTCGCCGTCCCCCACCCCATCCATCTCCACGGCCACGACTTCTTCATCCTTGCACAGGGCTCCGGAACCTACTCCAGCTCCATCACTCTCAACACTAGCAACCCGCCCCGTCGCGATACCGCTATGCTTCCCTCCTCTGGATACCTCGTTATGGCCTGGGAGACTGACAACCCGGGCGCCTGGCTCATGCACTGCCACATTGGCTGGCACACGTCCGAGGGTTTCTCGATGCAGTTTGTCGAGCGCTACAGCGAGATTGCTGCCATCACTGATAACTCTACCCTCACCGATACTTGCGACACCTGGACCACCTTCCAGGAGGAGTACTCCATCGAGCAGGAGGACTCTGGTGTCTAAATGGCTTATGAAGAATATCTGCAGTACGGCACAATCATTGGGTAGACTACCTTAGCATCGGGTTAGCGGTTTCCTTGAGTCTTGAGATAAAGGGGCGGGTTGGCGAATAGGGTTTCAATTTGTGTATCACATAGTTCAAGTTCCATCCATACACGAAAAAGGAAATTTTTATATTTTGACCGCGTTTGCCATCTTGATTGTTAGTGAAATGTGATAGTTCGACTGTCTTTGAAGCCATTTCGTGGTCTGCATCATTACCATGTATCAAAGCATATTGATACCGAACTTACCAACTATCGTGATACTCACGGTTTATACCCGGTTTATGATCTATCTCAGTTCCCTAAGATGACGATCTGACTTTCAAAGTCAGTCAACGGGTATCATGAGGTTTCATTCACATTAATTTACAAACGTCGGCAAACAGGCCGTCCTGTTCTATGTGCGACGTGCCACTACCGTCATCTATATTCACGTCGATACTTGATATAGCGCAGGCATAATCATTTTACTCAGCTTGCTTGGTTCACAAATAGCTTGTAGATTGCTCTCTTGGTATTGCCTTCGCGTTTCTGACGGTGATGGTGCAAGGTCTCGCTCGATATACCTTCAATTTTTACCAAAAGGCTCGAAATGGTTAGTTCTTACCCTTTGGTATATGAGGTGGGCATAAAAAGCTTCTTAACGTAGCTGTGATCGAAGTGCGTGATAATTTCAATATTCAAGAACTTACTAGACAATTTCGCTCAAGTTCGTAATGATTATTCAAGTCTATTAAGTGGGCTATACTAATGTCTTTGATGTGAACAGTGACTTCTAATCTAATACTCATTTGATGGATATCCTGTGTCTCTTTTTCCTAAAAAAGAAAATAAAGTCGTTATTCGAAAATCGCAAAAGTATTTTCTCTACATATCCTTAGTTTCGAATCTAGAATCTAATAGATCAATGTCCTCTACTGATAATTACAAGTATGACACTGAAGGCTAAAGTTTTAACAAGTTCCTGCTTTAAACTAAAAGCCAAGATTTTCCTTTGAAAATTAAAGATCCGATGATCATGCTTTCCCTTTTGAATTGGCCGAAAGAACTATCATAAGATATATTCAATTCGGCACGAATGTAACCTATAGTTTTCATGTAATATTGGCCTGAAAAGCTTGATTGTTTGAGGTCTGAAGAACGCATTTTAGTACACATGAACACTCAGCTAATTCCAGGAATGCTTCTACGATCTATCGTCAGTATGGAGGTTGCTATGCACCCCAGCTCGCGTGTCTTCCACTGTTGTCTCTTCTTATTCATGGTGTTTGTACTTGTGGACGTAAGTATTTGTTCGTCAGTATGTTCGGCCCAGCAGCAGATCCATCTCTCAAGGTCCATCCGACTCTGTGCCTGCACCATGACGATAACCTTGTCCCTACGGAAGCTCTCCAAAGCCTCGTCACGTGAGCCTTCTGCGTTTCAACATAGCCACGAGTGCATATTTAAGGACGCTATTCCTCCGGCATCAGTTCCCCCTTCCCCAATTGCTTGTTTTTATCTTTCTTTGTTTGTCCCACGTATTACGTTCGGTAAAGGCGCGACTTGCAGCCCTCGACGTCTGATGTCTGCAACTCTTACAGCCACGGGAAAAGCAGAAGCTTCTTCGCTCTCAAGTTTTTACTGCACATGCAGCCATGTCGCATTGTATTGTGTCTGTCTCCACCAAGTCATGGTGAAAGCATGCAAAACGCCGAACATTTTCACCAAACTTGAATGATGTGTTCCTTACGGCTCACGAGCGTACGCATGCATTGTCTCTGAAGACTTGTCACGAACTCATGATAGTGATTCCTCATCGACTTTGAAGTTGTACCCATCGAAGCTACTCTAATTTCTTCGAAATTCACCTGGGGTTTGGTGCTTTCAGGCTTGGATTTCATCGATCTCATGAGAATCACTTGCGCCATTGATGAAGAGATGGACTGCAAGATGCTCCTAATCAAACGCACTTTGATGACAAAAATTCTTAGAGAATCATCGATAGCTCGTAGTACTTGCCCACTATATTGACCATGATGATCTTTCCTGCAGCGGAGAGTTGTTGTTCATTCACGCCGTGCCCAAGCCTTCAGGTGTTCCGTTCATCCCACATCGCCGAGCAAGGCAGACAATCTGCGCTCTCTTCATTAAAAAAACCGGCAGCTTCCTATTTGGTACGACCGCGCTTGAATGCAAACTGGCGAGCAAAAGTTCCATCAATTTCAAAGTTGTCATATTTAATTGTAATCGCAACATCAACAAGCAAGCTTGAACTGCCGGAAAACCTTGAGTTGCCCACGAATCACCTCGGTGAGCAAGTACTATTCTTTTGGCATCCGGAACCGCGCGTCATTTTCTTAGTCCATCCCAAAAGTCTCCAGACTTGATCTATGTCTCTCTCCGATCATGATCATCGCCAAATTCAGATCAGCTTGCGCTGCCCTAGAAACAACAGCACACCTGGCGTCAGAATGATTGAGCTGCGGTGCACTTGAGCTTTGGCCTTTTCTCGGGAGCATAGGTGGTCGGTACATGAATCGCGTTGCGACGATTCGTAAGTGCTGCGGACATACAGTGGACATTCAGCGAAGATCATCATTTTGCTTAACAGCATTCAGCCTATAAGTCAACATACCCACTTCCTGGCACCCCCCTGTTTCTGGCACCCACAAAAACGCGAAAATCCACCACAACCCAATGCCCACCCCCAACCTCCTTTTATCACAACATTTTCAATTCGCGTCCAAATGGGCTCATCTTTTGCACATGTCTTCTTCTATATATAATGCCTCAATATACCGAAGATCAGCTTCGTCAGGCTCTCGAGGA